CCCCAAAAAAAAAACAGACGCACACACATGAAAAGAAAAGAAAATGGTAATTTCTTAAAGATGTTGTATATTTAAAAATTATTTTTTATATAATTCTTGTCTGTAAAATCTCGTGTAGAAAGGACTAAATATTTGGTGCTGTAAAACAAAACATTTTTCCAACAAATACATTATGTCAGTGATGAGAAATAGGATATCATATCTCAAACAATAAACACACTTTTCACCACATCTTGAGGCCATTATCGGAGACCCAATTTGTTAATTTATCTTTTACTTAATTCAGAGGGGTCTGACTAACTGGCCTGTTCTCACATTCTTTCACACTGTGGTGATGTGAAAAACAGCACAGTGACAGAGGAGAGAACTCCCTCGCTCTCCAGCTCAGTCTCTTAATCGGTCTCTCTCTTGGTTATTGTGACAAGCAGACACTCTGTGCACAGAGAGAAGTGTAGACATTAGGTTGTCCCCTCTTTCCCTTTGCTCTCTTCTCCTCAGCTGTGATTAATCTTAGGCTGCATACCTCACACCACAGGCTGAGGAGCGAGCAGGAGCACACTGCTGCCAGTTGAAGGACAGCTCTGCTGTTTGTGGCCTCTTTCCTTGAGTCTGTTTGCAAATATTTGGAATTCAAAATGAATAACTGAATCAGTAGACTGCATGTTTTTCCAGTTATTATTATTTTGCATTTTTGCCTTTATTAGACAAATTAGTACAAATAAGAAAGGATGAGAGTGGAGATCAGTATCAGACTTAAAGAGAGGTTGACTGAGGTGCTACAACTCCATACAATGTGTCAGAGCACTTCCCATATGCCTATGGCAAAATTGCGGATATTAGAAGAAAATATTGAAACATGAAAAGCTATACATGTACACTACCATTCAAAACATTTAGGGTTGGTAAGATTTTCTAATGTTTTTGAATGTCTATTTTGCTCCCCAAGGCTGCATTTATTTGATCAGAAATACAGTAAAAACTAGGGCTGTGCGATATTGAAGAAAAATGCGATATGCGATAACTCATTAAATAATGCGATATTCGATAGCAATATGCACTGATTCTTACTTAAGCTACAGAAGTTATTTAGGTAAGAGCAGCGAGTGATTTTCTCTTTGTCTTTTGTTCATGGCCCCAAATATTGCAAGCTGTAGCGATATGCATATTGCGATATGTACATTTGCGATATTTCGATAATTTCGATATATTGCACAGCCCTAGTAAAAACAGTAATATTATCATTTAAAATAACTTTATTTTAATATATTTTGGGAAAATAAGTACATCCAACTTTACCTGCATACATAGTCTACTCAAGCAAATCGAGATATATAGCAAATATATACTATAGATACTGTATAGCAAATATGATTGTTTTTATTATTGCAATTTAAACTATATTATTACCCAGCTCTAATCTATTAAACGTGACTATAAGGCATCAAAATATTAAGATATTATAAACATGAACATTATGATTTTCTGTAGAGATGCTTTGAAAATTGTGTTGAGTGAAAAGCGCAATATGAATAAAACTGACTTGACTTGAAAATGTGATTTATTTCTGCTCTTCCTCACTCTTCCCTTTGATGTTACATGCTCTTCCAGAAATCATTTTAATACGCTGATTTGGTGGTCAATTCCTGTTATTATCAATGTTGAAAATGTGCTGAAATGATTCTTTGATGAATAGTAAGTTAAGAAAGAATAATTTATTTGAAACTGAATTCTTTTGTAAAATTATGAAAACATTTTTTAAAGCCCCATTATTAATGTCTTTACTGTCACATTTGATCAATTTAATGTATTCTTATCAGATAAAAATATTATTTGCTTATTAAAAACAAATCTTACCGACATATACCTCAACTACTTTTGGGGAAGTCGTGGCCTAATGGTTAGAGAGCCGGACTCGTAAACCAAAGGTTGCTCCACTGTTCCAAGCTTTTCCAATACTCACAAAACTCATCAGCCCTTCAAATACTTTTAGGTAGATGAAGAAACCCATCTAGCATCTGAGATGTGCAATTAATGAGCACTAATGTGTTTTTTAACGTTTGGAGATGGATTATATAAGTTTGTCACAATTGTGTTGTCAAATTTTGGATGATTAGTGCACACCCATGAATTATGTCATATGTCATGTTAGGATTGCCCAGAGCATGGTTAGGATATCCAAAGCCCTGTGGTGTGCAGCAGACACTATAATGAAACCACTGTCATGTGTTCAGAAATTGCCATCTGGAGCATTTTAAGGCCAAATGCAGTGGAAGAGGATAACTAAAACGATCAGAGAAATGGAAACCCAACAATGCCAATCGCTGGTATTAAACCAACAACTGAGGAAATAAGGCATGACTAAGATATGCTGAAAGAGATAAAACTGCTGTATTCTTGTGGTGTTAAGCAATACCTGTTCATTAGCAGCCGCAGCAAAATGGGGAGACATGTTTTTCAGAAGCGTATTAATGTCTTTGTAGAGTTCACTTTTTCTCATATAGTAGTTTACACCTCCTTCTCCATTGATTCTCTGGAAAATGAAATCATAATGTAAGTTACACAGATTGACAACATTCCCAATGGTGTATTAGTATTTTTGGCTAAGATATAAGTCGGGTTACAAAAGATATCTCAATCATAACGTCATATTTGAAAAAGACAAGTGAAAGAGCAAGAGAAAAGGTTCAACACTCACTAAACACACATATAACTGTACTTTCAACTTTTAATCTCTGAGGTTTAGAGGTGAATTGTTCTGATTAAATATCTAATCTATACAATTAGCATCACTGTCATTTGCAGTAGATTGAAACTGACCTCAAATGTACAATGAACAGGTGAGTGTCAGAAAGCATTGAACAGAACACAGACGAGGACAAGAGACTCCAAAAATTACAGACATTTAGATAGAGGTGGAGGGGGAGAGAAATTAGATTGAAGAAAGAAACACGAAGATAAAAATAGACATATGTACTTGATTAAGTGGCACTCTGAATGAAAAATATTGTGGTGTGTGAAATGTTGCTTTTGATTAATTGCACACATATTTAGTTCTGTGGTGTGGCTCGAAACACTGGACACAGCAAGAGAAGCAGATCTGGAACATAATCATATAACTGTCATGTCCAAACTTTTCAGTTTCACTTACCTCATGTTTTGGAAAAGTGTCTGTATACCATACCTTTCAAACACATTAAGAGCACATTGTGTATGATCAAATTGTCTACCAAAATTCGCTCTCTTGACAGCCTGACACGTTTCAGATTAGAAAACTCATTGCATCATTCAGCATTCCGATGGGATGCATTAATTTCCATCTGCTAGGTGCTCAGGTCAGGCTTGTTGGGATATGCCCCGTTTAGATTATCAACCTCCTCTGTAATTGGTTTCATGATAAAAATACAATATATAATCAACTGAGGGAATGTCCACACTTCTGAAACTGATTACTAATGGCAGATGATACGTTATGTAGCTGAATTCCATCATTTTTGACACCAATGTAGCAAAACATGTGTTTTGCTTTGACATACGAGAGAATTGTGTTCCTATCTAAATCCAATCTAAAACCAACATACCAAATTACTTATTACTTTCTTGACAGTTTTCTCACCTCATCAAAGAAAACTCCGCTTGTACTGTAAGTGATGAACAGTGTGGGCTCTGTGTCACAGGTCTCAATTATAAGGGAGCAGATCTCTCCATCCATCTGCCTCCACGGTGGAGAACGACAACCATTGGAGAACACGTAATCTGGAGGCAAGATTAATGCTTTAGAGATTTGTATATTTTGTTACATGTATATTGTGTCAAATGTTAAATTAGTGCACCGTTGTCACCTCTCGACAGTAAATATTTGCAATAAAACTTCAGTTTTGGAAAGTTCATACAGTGCTGGCTCCCACCGGGGCAGATGGACACTCTCTCCCAGTAGCCCTGCCAGTGAAGATGACTGATTGCTCTTCAGGACTGAGCTGCTGCAGACATAACCCCAAGATAAATCACCCTCGCCAAACACCCCCGCCGATACTCCACATGCTCCAAACCACCCTGCGCATCCTCACGGTGCCCCCCTTTTTATTTGCATAGAAGCTTCCATTTTTTACTCCGCATACGGGGACACATTTTTCAAAAGAAGCCACATCCATCATTCAAAATTTGCAGGCCGCACTCCTCTTTCCAAAAACAGTTGATTGTTATGGCACAGCAAATCTGCCCGTTCTCCTCAGGGAGAAAGGAAGAATTGATGAATCTCTTTGTAAACTGAAATCTGACATATGTAATGGTTTCCATGTTGCGGGGACTTGAATACAGACATGTTATATTTAAAGGATATCCAGAATTGCCACTAATGGTGATGGCTTGAAGACTGAGTGTGAGGCAGAGAGAAAAGCTTTATTGATATTTAAGAGTGTTAATCATAAGCCAATAAGCACTAAAATGATCAGAACTACTAAATTTTGTGAGTTTCTTATAGGAAAACTACCCTGGAAAATGTTTCGATCTTAAAGATGTGGTCACATTAGTGAAAATTCACAGGCAAAAAAAGGTCAATTGTATAGTGTAGCAGTGCAAAACAAAACAAAACAAGCAGTTTTATGTTGTTCAACGTGGCGAGTCTGTTAAAAACCTGCTTTGGGAAATCTTTCTACCTCACGGAAAATTCCCAGTTGCACTGATTCCTAATGAAATTTCTGGATTTTGCCTGGGATAATCTGCCAAAAAATGGGCAGAGATTCCTTAATGTGTTGTCACATTTACTGAATTTAGTAGTTCAGTTGAAATCAAGCCATTTCTACAGGAATCTCCACAGTTCGAAATTTTACTTGAGGGCAAAAGATTTTCTCGTGCACATTTCACATTGGGATCAAGTTTGTCACACAAATTGACCAATAGAAAGCTGCTTGGTTTGAAATTGACTTCATAGACCACTACATTAATGACAACAGACAATGGATCTTTTTTTGCCCACAAAATTCCACAGAAATTGACATTTTCAGAGAAATTTTGCCAACTTTATGCTTATACAGTCTTCTGGTACTGTCAAGAAAATAATGAATCTGTTTAACTGAATATAGTTCAATCCCACCTCTGGAGGTCTGCTTTGCCTACTTCTTTGAGTACCTCACATTATTTTTGCCTAGAACACTCTTAAAGTCTTCATAATCATTAACTGAATCCTCTAAAGCCTTGAGAAATACTGTTTGCTGAACTGATATCAGCTGGATTTGATTTCATTTATGGCAGGCTGTTCGTTTTACATCAGCATGGATGTCGGCCCCGTGCACCCTCATGAAGTTCGACTCTGAAAGTGGGACTGTGAGCATTTCAACTGTCACCTCAGTTGTCTCTACAGATCCATCTTTTAAGTTATCTGACACCGACCTCTCTTGATTCAATTTCTCGTTGGCCTGCGGGAACTGTGATGGTTCAGTGGCCACATTTAACTCAGCACCACTCTTCCTGTCACAGCTCTGCACATCATCACTAAAAGCCACATTAGTGGCATTCATCTCGTTTTTGTTAGAGTAGGTCTGCCTAATGTGTTCGTAATTGAAACACACATAAAATAGACAAAAGTACAAAAACAGGTGCAAATTGTCTTTAATTGGAAAGAAAAATGACGTAAGATAAAAGTCTTGCTTCTGAGATTTTTTTTTTATTTTTATTTGTTATAACAAGAAAAATGGTGTAAAAAATAAGCGTCACTTAAAATGAAAAAATTATTTTAATTACCCGCTTGGAAGATCTTTTTTCTCGTTTTAAGCATAAGCTCACTTAATTTTAATAAATTTATATGAAGACTTAATTGCTTAAATTGCTTTTCAAGAATGTTTACTGTAGAAATTGGTACTGGAAAACAAGAAAAAAATACTGAGTTTACAAGGCATCAGTCAAGCATTTGCAGCCATGTCTGGCAGTCACATGTGAGAAGTTGTCTCCATTTTTCCCAATGACTAAATTACTGTACAACTTTAGTCCAGTTGAACAACTCTCATTCATGCCGGAAAACTATGATCACTCGCTCCCAGCATCAACTCAGAGAGAGAAAGAGAGAGTGAGGGAGAAATTAATCAGATTGAGGGTGAAAATAAGTCTGGAAGTGAGTGAGTGACAGAAAGAGATAAAGTTAGCAGAAGTGATGGAGAGGGGGGAAAGTGAGGACAATGCAAACCTGATGTGTAGCTCACAGACTTCAGCACCCGGTTTTCTCCTGTTCCACAGAATCTCTTCAACAGATCTACCTCTGTATTAACAGCTGCTGGGCTTAGCCTGCCCTCTCTGGGCAAAACACACACACACACACAACACAGAACAAAAACACAGCTCATTAACCAGTAACAGTAATATAGCTATGAATGCATGCACAACTCCAAAGTGAAAACATTACTTGTCAAGTGCTGTAGATTAAGAAGTATCTTTTTTTTTTAAAAAAATGCATGTCATGTGACTTAATCAAAGCACATCACTGGCTAAACTAAGGTCTTCTCTTTCCAACAAAAAAACCGAGAATGTTCTCTTAAAGAGACAGTGGCAAGGAAATTAACACAAAGAGTATGTTGCCATATGGCTACACCATGCGGTAGAGGGTTAAGAGTGTTAATCATAAGCCAATAAGCACTAAAATGATCAGAACTACTAAATTTTGTGAGTTTCTTATAGGAAAACTACCCTGGAAAATGTTTCGATCTTAAAGATGTGGTCACATTAGTGAAAATTCACAGGCAAAAAAAGGTCAATTGTATAGTGTAGCAGTGCAAAACAAAACAAAACAAGCAGTTTTATGTTGTTCAACGTGGCGAGTCTGTTAAAAACCTGCTTTGGGAAATCTTTCTACCTCACGGAAAATTCCCAGTTGCACTGATTCCTAATGAAATTTCTGGATTTTGCCTGGGATAATCTGCCAAAAAATGGGCAGAGATTCCTTAATGTGTTGTCACATTTACTGAATTTAGTAGTTCAGTTGAAATCAAGCCATTTCTACAGGAATCTCCACAGTTCGAAATTTTACTTGAGGGCAAAAGATTTTCTCGTGCACATTTCACATTGGGATCAAGTTTGTCACACAAATTGACCAATAGAAAGCTGCTTGGTTTGAAATTGACTTCATAGACCACTACATTAATGACAACAGACAATGGATCTTTTTTTGCCCACAAAATTCCACAGAAATTGACATTTTCAGAGAAATTTTGCCAACTTTATGCTTATACAGTCTTCTGGTACTGTCAAGAAAATAATGAATCTGTTTAACTGAATATAGTTCAATCCCACCTCTGGAGGTCTGCTTTGCCTACTTCTTTGAGTACCTCACATTATTTTTGCCTAGAACACTCTTAAAGTCTTCATAATCATTAACTGAATCCTCTAAAGCCTTGAGAAATACTGTTTGCTGAACTGATATCAGCTGGATTTGATTTCATTTATGGCAGGCTGTTCGTTTTACATCAGCATGGATGTCGGCCCCGTGCACCCTCATGAAGTTCGACTCTGAAAGTGGGACTGTGAGCATTTCAACTGTCACCTCAGTTGTCTCTACAGATCCATCTTTTAAGTTATCTGACACCGACCTCTCTTGATTCAATTTCTCGTTGGCCTGCGGGAACTGTGATGGTTCAGTGGCCACATTTAACTCAGCACCACTCTTCCTGTCACAGCTCTGCACATCATCACTAAAAGCCACATTAGTGGCATTCATCTCGTTTTTGTTAGAGTAGGTCTGCCTAATGTGTTCGTAATTGAAACACACATAAAATAGACAAAAGTACAAAAACAGGTGCAAATTGTCTTTAATTGGAAAGAAAAATGACGTAAGATAAAAGTCTTGCTTCTGAGATTTTTTTTTTATTTTTATTTGTTATAACAAGAAAAATGGTGTAAAAAATAAGCGTCACTTAAAATGAAAAAATTATTTTAATTACCCGCTTGGAAGATCTTTTTTCTCGTTTTAAGCATAAGCTCACTTAATTTTAATAAATTTATATGAAGACTTAATTGCTTAAATTGCTTTTCAAGAATGTTTACTGTAGAAATTGGTACTGGAAAACAAGAAAAAAATACTGAGTTTACAAGGCATCAGTCAAGCATTTGCAGCCATGTCTGGCAGTCACATGTGAGAAGTTGTCTCCATTTTTCCCAATGACTAAATTACTGTACAACTTTAGTCCAGTTGAACAACTCTCATTCATGCCGGAAAACTATGATCACTCGCTCCCAGCATCAACTCAGAGAGAGAAAGAGAGAGTGAGGGAGAAATTAATCAGATTGAGGGTGAAAATAAGTCTGGAAGTGAGTGAGTGACAGAAAGAGATAAAGTTAGCAGAAGTGATGGAGAGGGGGGAAAGTGAGGACAATGCAAACCTGATGTGTAGCTCACAGACTTCAGCACCCGGTTTTCTCCTGTTCCACAGAATCTCTTCAACAGATCTACCTCTGTATTAACAGCTGCTGGGCTTAGCCTGCCCTCTCTGGGCAAAACACACACACACACACAACACAGAACAAAAACACAGCTCATTAACCAGTAACAGTAATATAGCTATGAATGCATGCACAACTCCAAAGTGAAAACATTACTTGTCAAGTGCTGTAGATTAAGAAGTATCTTTTTTTTTTGTATCTTCATTGTAAATATATATTAAAAGATATTAAAGCATGGCTGACTGCTTTGATTGAAGGCAGTGTGCAGTATATGTATACAGAAAGAGTGTTTACCCGGTGATCGGTCTGACAGCAATACTTAACAGCTTCTTGTCCAGCTGATGCAGGATGCTGAATAGCTTGTCTTCGTGTATTGTGGGAGAGATGGGCCCAAAGATCTTCTTTATTGGCTCCCTGTTAACTGTTGGCCATTAACACATATTATTCACACCTGCTTGTCATACAAAAACACTTCCACTCATCTTTGTTTTTTTCCCCTTAGCCCCATTGCAGGTTTCATTCCAAGACTCTTGGAACCAGGGCGATAGGTGCCAGTATAAAAAAAACACTGGTACTATTGGGACAAACAAGAGCCCACTAAATGTTAGCAAAAGCTTATTGACTACACATTTAAATGTTAGCCAAAAGCTGCAGGAAGCATGTCTGGAATTAATCTTCAGATGGAAAATCTGCTTTAAAAACTGTGGTCTAAAAGCTTAAGACCACTAGTGCAAATGCTTCTATTTCACATTTGTATAATTAATACTGACTTTTTTTATTACAAGTTATATTATCAATTAAAACTGAACTGAAAAATAGCATGAATTTCAGACTGTCATTTATTTAATGACAGCAGCATTCAAGCTTCACAAAACTCTACAAGTTTGTGTAAAGCCTGATCATGTTTTCCAGCCTGATCTAAGAATGACCCCAAGAGCATCTTGTGCATCAGTGGAAGAACATCTGACCAACTGTTTCATATAGGTGACATGATCAGTGTCACAAATGTTAGTTGATTAGGTCCTATAAATAGTGCAGAATCTTAAATAGTACTCATTTTATGTTTTTAATTCCAGTTTTCAAAAAAATCTAGATTCTCAATGTGGTCTCAGATTTTCGGATTCCACATCTTCCATCATAAATAAATGTAAGCACTGGAATGATGAAGGCTGCAAATGTGTTAATATTTATAATTGCTACAAGAAATAAGGAATAACAGAATAGGCTATTTCAGACAAATTAGTACATATTAGTAATACCTCATGTTCTGCATGCAGCTCACCTTCCAAACAGGCCCGGATCTCCTTCATCTTTTTATCTGTGCTTAGTTGCAAAAGGTTAGAGAGATGGTAAAATGAGTGCACTGTGATGTCAGGTGGACTCAGTTGGAGAAGGGGACTTCCCTTATCATCACATTCCAAGGACACAGCTGATTCACCTCTGAAAAAGAGAAGCAGCAAAGGGTAGGCAAGAAAAATCAGAAATGATCTGAAAACCTGCGGTATAGTCTAAGCAGAAAATTAAATTAGATGTAATCTTTCTTATTTCTCTAAAGCCTAGTCAACTGCTCATCTAACATAATCTCCAGTTGTTTACCTGGTGTCATATATATCTGATGTGAAATCAGCCGCTTCTAGAGATGTTTTCCACTGTAAAGGCTCCCTGAATAGAATCCTGGCCTCCTGTGGGTATCTGTCGTCGAAGTCCTCCGTGAAGAGCAGGATTTCAGTCAGTATGTCATTATTCAGAGGGTTGTTCTCGAGTTTATCCGCATCAGAACTCCACTGAATTGCCCTAGAGAATGTCTCTCCCATGACGGACAACAGACAGTTTTAACCTAACATTAAAGCAGAGTTAGTTAACACTATTAATAAAACGTGAGAAGGATAAACCTATATCAATGCATGCATTAAAGCGCGAGGACTGATATGTGGTGTTTCACACATATCTAACGGATTATTATCATTATTATTTAACTTTAAAGACGCAATATTTGTGACCCTCTTGAAAGGGTCGATTTATAAAACAGTTTATTACTCACCAACAAACGTGACTAAACAAGTATGTACAAAGTTTCTAACCGTTTTCCTCTTCAAATTCGCTGTATTGCTATCTTGCTAACTTTTCGGCGTTCCCTTCAGTTACCAAGTAAACAGAAACGAACTACGAGCCGGCTTCGGTTGCTAAGATACGGTCAAACAACGAGGAGCAGAGAGGGTCAAAAAAAGAAGTGTAGGCAACAGTACTGCCAAATTAGCAATTTTGTTGCTAAATGTTGCAACTTTTCAGACTCTAGCAATTGTTTTCTTCCAAAAGCACCTAGCAACAAATTTAGCTATTTTTAAAATAATTTGGCAACTTTTAGCAACTTTTGTTAAGCGACTCAAACGCATCAAACGATAAAAATGCACATATTTTCCATCTAAATTACACAAAAAGAGGAAACCAAAGATGCCTAGCAGAACACACATCACATTAATTAAGTTAGCTGCTATTTGCAATTGTTCAATTTAATAATAATAATAATAATAATAATAATTGAATAATTGTTCATTTATGATACACCTTGTTAGCTTGTACCTGCGATTGTTGATCAGTTAGTACACTGCAAGAAAATATCTAAAAATGGAAAAGGTACTAAATTTCCAATAAATATCCATTATCAATTGTAACCCTGTAACCCAAAAACAGAAAATACAATGCGTAATTTAAAATGCAGGTAAAAACCTGTGAAAAATCAATATGGAAAATTCCTTCATATTAACATTATGCCCTATTTTTACAGACTCTTCTTAGAGTGTAGCATACTAACTAACTGCTAATACACTGCTTAAAAGTACAATTGTTCAGAATGTATAGTTTTACTAGTTTACTAGCTAATAAAAACAACTTAAATTGTTGAAAAATGTGTAAGTGCTCAATAATTCAATGTTTTTAAAAATACAGTTATTTATATTTTAATATTATATTATGCATTTATATCATTTTACGAACAAATATAAATGAACATATATAAAATATATTTTTGCTGAGATTTGATGCATTGACAATTTTGCGTAGTGATTACGCAATGACAACACAACGTAATTTAGTAACTTTTAGCAACAAATTGACCTTCCTTTAGCAACTTCCCCTGAAAATTCGTTGGCAACACTGGTAGGCAAAGCGTTCAGCTTTTTCTTTTTGTGTTTGCAGGAAACACTTTATTGTACAGTATATGAATGATCAACATTCATATTAGGATGATTTTGCTATGCGAACAAAAGTGAGGTCCAAAACGAGTTTACCTGACCGAATTAAAGGCTTCTGCATTATGTCAACTGTTTGTTTTCTCTCTGGGGTTGCGTGCCCACAGAACCACACTTTTGAGAGGCTCTTTATAAACTTCCGTGCTGTGCTGTATGGTTTGGCAGAAAATTACACACAGGCATTTGGGCCACAGAAAAGACTTCATTTCCCCATTGATCCTGCCCGTACAGCCTCTCAGAATAAGTGAATTAAACACAACATTATTCACACTGGGTTTAACTTTGATAGGTCTCACTCATGAGCTTTCAAGTGAACCAAATCCGAACAGGAGCTCCCTATTTTCAGATCATGCAGATACAAGGCCTAGTGCCAGGTGTATTAGCCTCTCTCGCTCACTGCCAAACCACACCGATGACCTGGAGATTAACATTACAGAATTTCCATGCTTTTTCACTTAAATAGTGCTCTTTAGATTATTCTCTCTTACTGAATTAATGATTTCACTTCTTGCTGCAGATCAAGAGATCATTACTAAGAATTTCTCCAGGCATTTAATATTACATGGAAATTTACAAGCATTTCCACTAGACTTCAACTTACAAAGTAAATTACGGGAGCAGAGACTTTTTTAAATTCATTTAATCATGTCCGTCAATCGGTATAAAATATGGGTATTTCAGAGCTTCCACACCTCACCAGTAAACAACAATGAATGGGTTTAATTACCATAATACTACTGTATATTTTCTTTGTGTGTAGATTAGGAAATATGCAGCCAGCGGTAGGCCTTTGATTTTAAATCTGGGAAAATATCTGTTCTTGCTCCTTTTTGCAGTCTGGTCATTTACAACCATAAGGCCATAGCGATGATGAACAGAAGCAGAAAAGAAATGAAATGCTCACTTAACTGTATGCGTGTCAACATTTTGATTTATACCTACAGTCCAGACATGCTTTTATTCTACTTGTATTTGCAAAAGCCCAGTCTTTCATCCTTGGTTGAATAAATGGGTGCAAATCAGTGTCGTCGATCTTTCTGTGTGACATTTCGTCTGGCCTAGCCACTTCTTGGAAATCCAACAGCCTAAAGAGGGGAGCCCATAAGAGGTAATGCTGAGACTCTGTGGGCAATAAAAAACAGACCCTCTCCATCATTAAAGCATTGCGATCCCTCACTCTCATGTCTGCAATCATTCAATGATAAATTGTAAATAGATTCAAGATGATGGCACTGGAATCCCAGCACAGGAGTTTTCAAACTGGAGTCCAGGGACCCCAAAGGGGCCCTTGAAAAAAATTTGGAAGAAAAAAACATTTTAACAATTTACTGAACTTAAATTAAGTTTAATAGTTTTGCTCAAGATTGTTCAGAAATACTGACTGTATGATTATTTTATGCTATTCTATTGACAAGCTAGTAAGGTGTACATTTGAGTTAAATTTTATTCAGGAATCTAACATTAATAGCGGGTAGGAAAAAAAAGGTTCTCAACTTTTCAACTTATAGTAAATTTGTATTAGTAGTAAACTATTTTACAATTTACTTTGGCTTCAGCACCATGACTATATAAAAGCCAATTATTACATTTTTGAACAACATATTGACATTATAAAATCACACTATTTTTTGCACACAGTATAAATGGATCTTTATGCATAAAAATATATAATTCCCTTTATACTTTAGAAGAGGGAAACTATAGGCCTACACAAAAAAAATTACAATTAAAAAACACTACAGAAGCGGGGAAACAACAACAGGTTATTGATCTGAGAAAAAAAGAAAATAAATTAAAGGTTTCAAATAGAATGTCAAGAAAGAATGAGAGAAAGACAAACAGAAAAGAGAGACCACAGAAAAAGACTTGTAATCCACTATACACTTTCATTAGCTCGTACTAATTGCTGTTCGTTAAGAAGGCTAAGTACAATGAGCTGGTGCACCAGAGCTTCCTTCAAACATAAACACACAGCCTGTGGTCAGAAGCACCTGTCAGCTCCTCCAACTCTCTCTGCCTTTGACTCAAACTCGGCATAATAAACAAAGGCGGCTTCTGGAATGGTCCGGCAGTGATGCTGATTGAGCTGAAGCGGGAACACACAGCAGAAGATTTACGAGGCGCGGCTCTGTCTTCAAGCACGGAGGCTGTGATTGCATCCGTCCACAGCTCACTCTCCACTCTCAAAACAGTCCTTTAACAAGGGGAAATCAGGCTCGGGATGGATTACACACAAGTTTTGGGGCGATAAAGGGCATCGACCTACAGGAGTTCGGGCCAGTTCAAACACTACACGTTTTTGCGCTGCTTTCTTAATCATTTTCTTTGCAGTCGCAGACTTTAACCACTGTGTCTTGCTGTTTTAAGCATCAGATCTTACACAAGAGTGCAGCATTTTTAAAGGGGTCATATGATGCGATTTAAATTTTTCCTTTCTCTTTGGAGTGTTACAAGCTGCTGTTTCTCATTGTGAAAGCGAAACTACTTTGGTTGGCCTTCCAAAAGAGGACGATATCCGCTTCGTCATGACTAGAGCTGATCTGTGCTGGTCGCTGAGGAAATACATCAACTTCGAGCTGTCGATCGCAGGATCGGCTTTCAACATGGACGAAACGGAGTCCAGCCCCAGGTCGTCACATGTGGTTGCCGCAAGCCCACCGGACGCTCCTTCGTCGAATCCGTCGGCAGCGCTGTTCTCAAGCCCGCCGCCTCCGCTCACTCAAGCCGGCCTCCACTCACTCTAGGCCACGGCTCACTCTAGGCCTCCGGCCGCGGTGTGTGACGCTGTTTCGTTGTGAAAGCGAAACTACTTTGTTTGGCCTTCCAAAAGAGGACACGACTAG